GCTATACTCAAAGAATTATGGGGGAGGCACATAGATAGAGAGATGGCTCAGCAGCTAATGGCACCAGCTACTCAGGAGGACCCAGATTTGATTCCCAGTATTCCCTTGCCATCTCACAACCATCTGGAACTCCAATCCCAGGGGCTCTGACTGTGCCTTCTGGCCTCCTCAGACATCAGGAATGCATGTAGACAATATGCATAAAAAATAAATGAAATTTTGATCCATGCCAAAGAGGAGGCAAAAATGTCATAAGAACCAGAGGTAGTGGACGACTCCAAGGAAGCAGTGTTTTCCAAACACAGCATGACAGATGGACCTGTGGACTCACAGACTGTGACACCATGCCTAAGACCTGCACAAGTTCAAGCTGGGCAAAACCCCAGCACAGGGGAGGGGAAAGGAGCACAATGTCCCAGCCCTTGCCAAGAAGCTGCTTATAATTGATAGTTGCTGAGAGAAGAGAAAATCAGTGTTCTCCAATGCAGAGCCACTGGGTATATCAACTATACTCCAGCATAGGCCCCATGCTCAGATGTATTCCATGGGTTTTTGTATTTTTATTTTAGTTTAGTTTTTCTAAGAGAAAAAGAAAACATGAAGTTGGGTAGGTAGTGGAGTCAGAGGATCTAGAAGGAGTTGAGGGATGGTTAAGAATACAATCAAAAAGTGCAGTACAACGTAAATACTAATGTGATATTCTGATAGATGTAGGCACCATTAAATGTTCAAAGCAAAAAAAGTGATGGATATCTTTGCTGCTGTGCCATTTTAAACAAATGCTACTCTTAGGATGTACTTTGTTTCAAGGGAAGAAAATGCAAATCACAGTGGATTTCATGAATAGAAGTCAAGCCACATTCCATAGGCTCAGGAGTAGTTCAACTTTCCCCCATTAGTTTATCTGGGCTCAGCTTCTCTGACTAGCACTCCAGATATTCTATTCTGTTCTGATTTGGACCTTGGCTTGGCCTCCATATGACTGCAGTGTGTGTGAAAATGACATAATGATATCAATTACTTTGTATGCTAACATTATTTGTGCCTATGCATTATCTCTATCTTGCTAGCTAGCTAGATTATATACATGAGTATATGTCTACAGCTCTTATAAGAAAAAAGATTTCTTTCCCCAACTACAGAACACAGAACTGAAATTCATTCCAACAGAATTTCTTCTTGCTGACTCCTGACACAGGGCTTTATCAGTTGGGTTAAATCAAGGAAGACTAATTTGGATAGGTGAAATGCCCCCAAACCGGTATGTTTGACAACAAACAAAGGAATTGTTAAAAATCCATCAACATGAGGCAAAGTGGAAATAGGCTAAACATTCATAAATAGGTATTTAGTTCTTTTTTTGTGTATATGAATATTTTGCATCTGTGCATATATACACCATGTGTGTGAAGTCCATGTGGGGGCCAGAAGAGGGCATCATATCTGCTGGAACCAGAGTTACTAGCACCCGTGAGCTGATCTGTGGGTGCTGAGAACTGGACCCCAGTCCTCTGCAAGAGCAGCAAGTGCTCGTAATTACTGAAAGATCTCTCCAACCCAGAGTGTCTGTTTTATGTCACAGTATAATCACTCATTAGAACAGCATGTGTCCTCTGAAACACATAGTGTGAAGGATGTTCCTTTGCACTTTATATGCAAACAACAGATTATAAAACTTAGAAGGGGCCAGGCAGTGATGGCGCACGCCTTTAATCCCAGCACTCGGGAGGCAGAGGCAGGAAAATCTTTGTGAGTTCGAGGCCAGCCTGGTCTACAAGAGCTAGTTCCAGGACAGGCACCAAAAACTACAAAGAAACCCTGTCTCAAAAAGAAATATATATATATATATATATATATATCAAAAAAAAACTTAGAAGGCCATATATACCAACTCATTAGCAGCTGAAATCCCTTCCCGGAGGCCTTTTGTTTGACTTTTGTGGGGTTAATGCTAAACTTTCTTGTGCTTCTTCACATCTTCTAAAAAGTACATAACAAATGTACTGCAGGTTAAGTATCTTATCCAAAATACTTGGAACCAGATAGTTGCATTCTGTTTGCTTGGGGATTTGAGCATGTTGGCATGCATACTGTGCTAGTCAGTTTCACTCTTACTGTGACAGAATCCTGGATGTGAACAACTTAAGGGAGGATTGATTCAGCTGGCAGATCATTTTCAACCCTTCATGGTGGAAGTACAAGACAAGCAGTTCAAGCCATGCTTCCTGGGAAACTGAGAGGGACAGACAGGGGGGTGGAACAATAACTAACCCTAAACAGCTCCTCCCTAGTAACCTATGTCTTCCAGGTAAGCCCTACCTCAAGTTTCCAGAAACTTCCAAAGTAGTACCACCAGCAAGGAATCAAGCCTTATTACACTAAGTCTCTTCAGTGGAGGTGGGGGTTCACTACATAGACAAACATGGCTAACAAAACAGTGGAGGTAAGGACACACTATAAAGACAAACAAGACTAACAAAACATCTTATGGATAGGACTACTGTCTAAGCATGAAATTTCCTGTGTGTTTCATACATACTTTATGCACATAGCTTAAATATGATTTTGTGTGTTATCTTTAGAGTGCCTGCATTTTGGTGAGCTGTGGGTTTTTGTTGGTGGTGGTTTTTTGTTTGTTTGGTTGGTTGGTTGATTTGGGGGGTTTTTTGTTTTTTTGTTTTGTTTTGTTGGGTGTTTTTGTTTTGTTTTGCTTTGGGTTTTTTTGGACAGACCAGCAATACACAGGAGTTACCCAGGCTCTGCAGACGGTGGCCAGGTGCCATCTTAGAAGAAAATCTGTTGTTTAAAATTGAAATATTCTGGGGACCTCAAGTCAACCTGCCACTGCCCTAGAATTAGGCAACCTTGGGAGGCAGGGGTGTGCTGTAGGAATTCCTACAGCCAGTAGCCTTTAAGTTACCTGCCCACTTGGCCATGGCCTCTTATACTATTTATGCCGATGTAAAGCACATGTCTGGCCTCTTTTCCAGCTGTGGGATTCGGTTGCTGTTCTCTGTTCCAGCAGAGGAAATTGATTTGTGAGTCTACCACTAAATAAATAACCCTTTATTATTCTCAATTCTAAGCTAGTGTGGGATTTCTTTTAAGCATCCATTCAGGGGTAGAGAACAGGAAGGACAGAGGCCAGCAAACTGCAAAGCACAGATAGCAGGAGGACCCAAGCAGACACTGGATTGTACAAGAATAAGACCCTAACCTCAGCACCCTGTTGCAGAACTTGCCAAGAGAGAGTCAACCCTCTGATAACCCAAAGCTTGCAGGTGGGCTGGTAGGGCAACCTCTGGAGCCAGCTGTTTGCATGAGGCTTGCTGCTCTAAAGTCCAGGAACTCTGAAGCTTCATGGGACCACTTATCATCCACAACCATATTCACTCAGCATAGTAGTTAATGTTGAGTACGTTTCCAAAAGTACCAAGATGGGTCAGCCTGTATAAATCTCTGTATGATGGTCACTTGCTCCACCTCCACCTTGTGAGAACACTAGACACCCACAGGGGATACAAGTCAGGAGGTTATCATAGGGTAGGAAAACCTGCCCAGTCTCTATTAGTCAGGGTTCTCTAGAGTCACAGAACTTATGGCTGAGGATGACAGTGAACTCTTGATCTCCCGCCTCTACTTCTTGAGTGTTGGGACTACAGACACTTACCACCATGTTCAGTTTATAGCTGTGCTGGGGATCAAACCCTAGATATCACAAATGCTTGGTAAGCTCTCTACCAACTGAACCACACCCCATCCCAGGACTTTTTGTGGGACTCTTGTATTTCATATGTTTTATGCTAGTGCTCTATCAAATACATGTCTGAGGTCTGTCCGAGCTATTTTCACTTTAACTTCCCTCCTTGGTGCACCACAGTCCTTTGCTTGGTCCACATGACCTTTAGGCAATGGTCTGTGTGACGGCTGTTCTTGGTTGACAGCTTAACTTTATCTGGAGGGAACTAGAATCCAGAGATGGAGGGCACACTTGTGATCTGGATATTGAGGCTGGAAGACATAAATTCATATATATCCCTCTCTCTTCCTCCTCCTCCTCCTCCTCCTCCTCCTCCTCCTCCTCCTCCTCCAAGTTTGCTCCTTTTTTCATCATGGTTTCAGTGACATTCTGACTTCATCTTACTTTTTTCCCCTTATACTTATCTAAACTTTGTTACAATTTTTCTAATTATTAGGATATATGTTTAGATTATTTTGTCATATTCTTATTTTTTAAGGTTTGCTTTATGTGTATGAATGTTTTGCCTGCACGTATGTCTTTACACCGCATGTGTGCAGAAGCAGAAAAGGCATCAGATCTCCTGAACTTGGGGTTACAGATGTTGTAAGGTGCCCTGTGGGAGCTGAAATCTGGGTCCTCAGCAAGAGCAGACAATGCTCTGAGCCCCTGAGCCCCTGAGCCATCTCTCTTCAGCTCCGTGTTTTTAAAGTTTTCTAATTGTTTGCTATTATCTTGTCTACTTTGTAACATTCTTCTGTCTCTTCTTTTTTCACTTTTTGATGATTTCTTTGGTTTTTTTGTTTGATTCCTTTTTGAGGCTAATGCAACCCAAGCTGGCCTCGAACTCCCTGTGCTGCTCCCTCCTTTCTGGTACTCACCATTACTATTTTCCGTTTACCCTAGATGATTATTAACTTCGCAGCACTCTCTGCTGTTGCCATAACATGTTTTGCAGTAATTAGTGATTCATCGCTGGGCTTTATTTGGTTTTATTTAACTTTAACTTTTGAATGGATTACTATTTTGGGGACTGAGACCTAAGCCCCTCGAGAAACTGCTGCTGCTGTGATCCTCACATAAAACCGGAAGCTTCCAAGCAGCTAAGCAAATCACAACACAGAAATCCCAGGAACATGAAAAGCAAGTCAACATGACTCCACCAAGATCTTTACTCTTTAAAAACTCAGTTCAAAAAGGCTAGAATAATGGCAACCTTGGAAAAAGATTTCAATGTTTACCAATAAAAATAATCACTTACCTCAAAGAAGATTCAGATGAGCAGGTGAATCCCATCCTGAACCTGGAAGAGAAAAGCAGTGATATTAAGGAAAAAGTCAGCAAAAGAAAAAAACTAGCAACATTGAAGAAAAGTTCATCAAGGAAACTGAATTTTGAGACAAAAAAAAATGAAATAGAAATGCTGTAGATGAAAATTTCGACTAATTAAATAAAAAACAACACAATGGGAATCCAGCAGACTCACAAAAGAAAGGACATCAGTGTAAAGGAAGGCTGTATTCAAACAGCAACCAGGAGAATAAATGGCCACATGTCCGAGAATCCTAGGATATGACCAAGAGACCAAGCCTGAGCATTTGTAGGTTGAGAAGCTCAGCGTGAGCATACAGTAGAAAGTCCCCAAACCCATAGAAACAATCCAACCTCAAACACAGGAAGCAAATGAAACCCCATGCAAAAATGACCAGAGAAGAACATCTCTGTGGCACATTATAGTCAGCTTGTCAAAATACAAAGCAAAGAGCCAGGCATGGTGGAGCACAGCTTTAATCCTATGACTTGGAGACAGAGGTAGGTGGAGTTCTGTAAGTCTGAGGCCAGCATGGCCTCAAACTCTACATAAAGAGTTCCGGGACAGCCAAAACTACGTAGCAAATCCTGTCCAAAAAGAAAAAAAAAAAAAAACAGTGTAACTGAATGGTTTACTTCTGGCTCCTATCTTATATCCCAGTGTTCTACATGTCTGTCTGGGGGCTAGTGCCATGCTGGTTTCATAACTATAGCTCTTTAACATGATTTGTGGTCAGGTAGTATATGTCATTGGAGTTTTCATGAGGATTGTGTTGACTCTGTAGCCATTTCATTTTTTTCTGCTACCCTGGGATCACAAGAGGTATAATGATTATTTGGGGTTCAGCTACTTCTTTCAGGTTTTCTCTGAAGAGGCTCATTCCACCTTCCTGGCTTGGTTTTTTTTCTGGATTGTTTGTGGGGCTTGTTTGTTTGTTTGTTTGTTTTGAACAAATGTGAAAGAAATGAGCAGAAAAGCATTCTTAGCATACTTGTTATTGTTTTATTAAAAAAACTACTAATTTTGTGTGTTGAATTTTATATCCTGCTACTTGATAGAAGTGATCACCGGGTCTATAATTTTCTGGTGGTTTTTCAAGGGTCTTTTGAGTTTCGAATCATGATTCTACAATTAGAAATAGCTTTATGTCTTTCTTTCCCATTTGTATCCTTTTCATTTCTCTTGTCTTATTGTCTAGCTAAGACAAGAAACACCATAGCAATTAAGGGTAGAAAAATTTTGGTATCTTTACCTCATTCCAAATTTTAGAGTGAATGGTCTCAGGTTTAACCCACAGCATAGTGCTGCCTGTAGAATTTTCAGGCACGGACTTGAGTATTCTGAGGCTTGTTCCTTCTATTTCTAGCCTCCTCGGGTATTTTATCACGAAAGGATATGGAGCCTGGTCAAAGGCCTTTTCTGAAATCAAGATGAACACATGTGTGTTTATGTGCTATATTCCACTTGCTGATAAGCATATGTTGAGACAAATTTGCATCCCTGGAATGAAATCAACATGTCACACTGTATAATTTCTTAATGTGTTCTTAAATTTGGTCTGTGAGTGTTGTATTTTGCATTTGTGTTCCTCTGGGATGTTGCTCTATTAGCTGTGTCTGAGCATGTCCAGAACCAGCTGCAGTATCAGAAATACTGGCTTTCTAACAAGAGCTTGTTGGTTCTCCTCCCCTGTTTATTTTGTAGGATGCTATAGAAATAATTGGTGTTGGATCTTTTTTTTAATCTCTCTATATAGATTTTATTTATTTATTTTATTTAGTTTATTATAAAAACTTGCAAATAGAAAGCACCATAGAGAAGGGAGTTCAGTGGTTAAGAACACTGGCTGCTCTTTCAGAGTCTCCAGTTCGATTCCCAGCACCCACATAATGACTCACAGCTTCTTGTAACTCCAATCCCTGGGTTACCCTTTTCTAGCCTCCCTAGTCAATGCATGCACTTGGCGCAGACACATGATGTCACTATACTCATATACAGAAAGTAAAAATTAAAACTTCCTAATAATGACAAAAAATTTTGATGCATGTACACTTTTATGTATATAATGCTTTGCTGTGCTCTCATAAATTCAACTGGAAAAAAATAAAAATAAATACACCACATCTTAGTATTTCCAAAGTTTGATCCCTCTGGAATATTGCCCATAAAAACACTTAATTATGCTTCAAAACTATGAGTGTGCATTATAATTTAATAAACTGCTTTCTGGATTTTTCTTTTGTTTGGTTTTTGTTTTTTAGGAGATTTTAATGTAGCCACTGTGTACGTGCTATAAAATGATTCCAAACTTCTTAGTAGCCCACCAATACATATGCCACCTTTTAAAAAAAAATCAAAAACACAAAACAAAATACCTAGAGCAAACAAAGGAGCCTGTCAGGATGGTTCAGCAAATGAAAGCACTTGCCACCAAATCTGACAACGATGAGCTCCATCTGTGGGTCCTACATGGTGGAAGGAGATAACCGAGTCCTCAGATTGGTCTCTGACCTCCACATGCATGCCTTGACACACATACATACACTCACACAAATAAGTAAATAGATAAACATTTTAAAGCAGAAGTATAAAGGTCAGAATGGAGCCTATCAGTAGTAACTCCTCGCCCACCCTTCATGCAGAGGCATGCCTGTTGTTCCTTGCATTTCCTAAGCACCCTAGCACACACCATAGCAACACTTATTCCAATGTGGTGATATCTTATTTGTACAAATAAAGCTTGCCTGAAGATCAAAGGCAACCATAGAGGTCTGGAGGTCTGTACAGATAGACAGGAAGTGATATGGCTGAGCAGAGAGAGGAAGTGATAAGACGGGAGGAGAGAGACGCTCGGTTTCTTTTCAGCTGGAAAAAGTTGAGTAGGTAAAGTGACTGTGGTTTGCTATATTTGACGCTGGACATTTATTATTAAGACCTATTAGAACTCATGCTACATGTTGGCGCCTAACATGGGGCACAAATTTTCAAAAAAGCCTATGGCTTTGCAGCCTCCGGCATAGGCTGGAGTTGCATGCAAGGCTCCTGCCAGAGTTGCATGCATGGCTCCCACTGGAATAGCCACCCAGCTGGTTAGGTTCTTCTCTGTTTTTCCCTAAGCCTCTAAGCGAGTTTGGATTTTTTTTTTCTGTTGTCATTACAGCCTCTGCAACAAACTCCATGGGCACACGAGCTCCAAACACCCTAGGACTTACCTGCCCTAGACCAGCTGGCTCTGCCTTTGGGCAATCCCCACTACACATGCTTCTGCACAGCACAGTTCTGTGTGCATTCTTTTCAGACAGCCAGCTCCCTCACTTCCTCTCTCCACTCACTCGCTGCTTTTCTTCTCTGATCTGTTTCCCGTGCAGATTCCTCCTACCCATTAGGGCCCAGTCCAAATGATGCCTCTCCGATAAGACCCACAGAAAACTCAGCTCGTTGCTGTCCGTCTTGTGCCTGTCCACTCTTCTGTCATCACACGCTTCCCATGAAGTTATTTTGTGAGCACCTACAGGTGAACACAGCCACATCTTAGCCAGTCTTTTCCCTGCGTAGCCAGTGTGATATTCATCACATTCAGTGGAGCCAGAGTTCCAATGAGAGGCCGGATTTGGATAAGCATTGTAAATAATGAAGGACTGGAAAGAGAACAGCAAAAAGCAGTAACTCAGAGATTAGAGTCGAGCATCCTCAATGTAAGTGGCAATCAATCTTAATTGTGGTAAACCCAGCCCCAATGACCTGATTAGTCAATGTAGGAACCTATAAATAAATAATCTGAAGCTATCCATCACTTCTTCAGGGGGGTCAGAAGGTTACAGCCTTGGGTTTTTAAAGAGATCTACTAACTCACTCTGCAGATCAGCGTGTACTACAGAAAGCAGCTCAAAGGTCAGGCTGAGGCTGAATTTCCTCGTAGGGAGACTTGTGTGGAAACAAGGGCTCTGGTGCTGTAGTAATATTGATTTTCTAGAACACTCGGTTTCAGTAGTACTAGCTTTTTTGTCCATTTAGCAGCATCTACAGCTGGGCATGTCAGACAAAAAAATTCTGAGGATCTGACATTAACACACTTTCATTGAAAAGTTTCAAATCCAATTTAGCTGTGTTATTAGACAAGAATCAAACACTGGAGAGGCTGGATAGCCAACCAGAAAGGAATAAACAACACTCACCCAGCAGACTCGCACATTGCCTTTCCTCCCCTTCCTCTCTGCCTAGCAAGCTGCCTAGGTCAAAATCCAGACCCCCAGTACAAGCCAATCTGCATAATGTTATCTCCATCCACACACCTGAGGCAATCGTTCTATTCATTATGGGGGAAAGTGAGTCTATGGCATCCTCTAGATATAAGTATGGGTTTAAATTAGTCCTTTAAAGAAAGCAGAACATTTGCTTCATAACTAAGAAGAAAATCCCTGTTCCCAAAGTCAGAGCTATAAACTAACTTGTGTGTGCTCCACCCTACCCCCAACCACAAGGTCACATGTGCAGGTCTAACTCTCCACATGATAGTGTTGTTTGGAACCAGAGACAGCTAATTTTGGATGAGGTCATCAGAGAGGAGCCCAAAGGATAACATTTGTATCTTTACATAAAAGAACATCAAGGTGCTTAGCCTCCCCCTTTATCTCTCCCACACACACACACCTCCCTCCTTCCTACTATGCACAGGTATAATGGAAGGACCATATGTAATGGGAGGGCCATATGAAGACACACGGTTGCTACTCTAACAGAGCTGGCACTGGCATCCTGATCGTGCACTTCCAGTCAGAGAACTATCAGAAAGAAATTGCTGCTTTTTAAGGCTCCCAGCCTTTGGTTGGTTGTTATGGCAGCCTGACGTGACTGTGACAACTGGGATGAGAACAGGCATTGAATAAAGTCATCCTGAATGTAGAACCCTCTGGACCAGGGCAGAGCGCCCAAGGAAATGAAAACGATGCTCTCATGGTGTCACACCTGGTCCCTTTCACTTGCAAACACAA